CGTAATAACCTCATATTATGAAACTGTAGTCAACTATCTCCAAAAATTAAATTGTTCTTTCCTTTTATGTTTCAGCTATGGTTAGAGACTGCTATGAAGGTTTCCTTCTTGGTGTGATACAAGACGATGTATATTACATCCAACTAGAAGACGCAACTGTTCCCTATCAGATCAGATGCGAAATGGATCCTGCAAGTGGGGGAGGGGGTGGTTGGACAGTCATCCAGCGACGATTCGATGGTTCTGTGAACTTCTACGACACATGGGATGCCTACAAAAACGGAATGGGCGATCCGCTCACGGGGGAGTACTACTTCGGAAACGACAAGATACATGAAGTTACGTCACAGAAAACATACCAGCTGCGCGTGGACATGACAGAATGGGACAGCACCGCGCATACGGTCACTCATGATTCGTTTGCAGTTGGCAACGAAACATCTAAGTACATTCTGAGCGTTGGCAATAAAATCGAAGGCGATCTCAACGATGCCCTTAGTTTTCATAGTGGGGCACAATTCAGCACTACTGACCAGGACAATGATAACAACGTGGCGGACGACTGCGCCGACCTGTGTAAAGGTGGCTGGTGGTACAAAAAAGATATACCGCTTGACATGCGTTGCTATACCAGTCATTTGAACTCGAACTATGACCCCGGAGGTACCATGTGTGCTTTTGAGAGGGGCATCGTATATTACACTGATTATAGCGATCCAAATAACGTTCAAAAAATATGCTTAAAAACAGTCACCATGAAATTGCGGCCATGATCGTCGGATGGTCTAGCAAGGCGAAAAAACAAGTACCATCATGCGCATGCGTGGTTGCGCAATTTACGCATATGACCAGGGTGTTTCACTTTGCTAGGGGGCTGCTGTTTGAAATCATGAGGGACAGAGGTTGGAAGTGAGAGACCAGATCATCTTTTCGCGGTGATTTATGAGTATTTTGTTTTCTCCTGCAACACACTGCAAGCATATTTTTCCTTTTGTTTTTAGCTTGTCATTTTTTCAACAACGGCCACCCCCGTGATTTCAAATGTCGACTCCTAATATGTCCACGTTTTACAATTTTTTGAATAGAACGTGGTGAGAGATTATAGACTATTATGAATAGACAATTTAAGGATATCTGGTTCGCGTGTCCGATTACGTCAGCGGCCTTTAGACTCTTTCGCAGTTGATTCATGACATGCGTGGTCACCGTGTCGTGCTTATTTGCATATGAGCCAAGCGAATGTAACTATATCTGGATTTCCCACCACGTCCTGACAATAGGGTAATAATGACGACAGAATCAACGAACAGTCCTATATACAACTTGTGGCTTTCATTTACTCTTTGTGTATTTCGTGTGGTCTCTTTGATGTGGAACCTTGGCATTTTATATTGTTGAAATAGTCTATTTATAGAAATATCTCCAGTTCTCTGTGTGATACGGGAAATCGAAGCATGTCAGATACTTACCCATAATACACAAGGCGTCCGGTTCTCTGCTTGTGGCAGGAAACTGACATATTCCTGAATCAGAAGGAAAACAGATATATGTCGCACGAATATTAGATGCAGCTTATACAAATGCAAATAATATCTAATATTTCGAATTGATGACATTGACGTCACTTTGCACTATGACAACATCGTTTTCTGGAGAATTGTGCTCGTGCAATCAATGTTTAAAGCATAAGATGCATAATATGGTCAAACGTGTTCCATGACAACGTGTCCTTGTTGCACACCCTCACAAACGGCTGTCTATTACGCGTGCGACCGAGACTGGAAACAGAATTGCGGAACAGGACATTTTGTTTATGATTTAGGTTGATACACAGTATACCTACCTGTCCCTTTATTAATCACAGTGCCATAATTACATGTTAAATTTGAGTTAAATTTTATTGAATTTAAGTTATTTCATCTACTAGATACAGTTTCACTATAATTACGAAGGCGCAAACAAGATTCTCAATCTCCCTAATGTATATTGCAATTTAACGAGGGGCTTTCTTATCGGTTCGGATCTTATCGATTTCTTATATGAAAACGATACATTTTGGGGGCAATTTCACTTCCGTTGGTGCCACTTGATTTTGGACTAATTATTTTTTTTTCCAGATACGCACTATGGCTAAGTTGTTGTATGTTGTTATCCCTACAAATCTTATTTGCGATTGCTTCAACCAACTGGAGTAAGTTGATGGGGATATAGGAACATTGATAAGAACTTTCTAAGTTACCCGTACGAATCCTGTTGGAGACCGCTGTATATTGCATTCATATATAGGATTGCATTTCGATTTAGTTGACTAATTAAATTAATTAAATTTGCAATTTAAATAAGCTGCTCTGCAGATTCAGTTCCGAGTTTTACAGACAGTCCTCACAGACTAATACATAGTTGGGCAGGTTAGAACTCAAGTAACCATGAACTTCGGACGTCGAGATTCTTGTATTTATTTTGTAGACGAGTGGCGATGAAAAAATCGTGAAAAAAATAAAGTAAATAGATGTATTCACCCTTTCATATATGTTATCTAAAGAACCCATTTCGTGAGCAGCTTTCATACGATCTGATCGCGCTTACTATAAAATCGTTGGGTCGAAGAATGCATTTGCATCGACTGGGAAAGACTGATTATGACTGATTCAAATCCCGTATTTAGTCAAAACTGCCTCTTACTGTTTCTACATTTGAAGAATTGAATGCCTAATCATTGGCGAATAAGCACTTGACAATTCATTATTCATCATTAAATTATTCAGATGACCTAAGACCTTGCATTCCCAGAAGGTAAATTAGAGACATTTTATGTGTTCCACTGCTTGCTTCGAGACGAGCACCCAGTTTAATGAACCTATTAAAAAAAACATACAAGACTTTTTCACAATATGGGTATTCATGTTCACATTGGTTTCTTGCATATATTATTAGATAGGTTGTCATGCAAACTGGATTTTCAGTTTTGCAGACAGTTTCCTTTGTCCTTATCAGCCAAATCCTGCCTTTCGACTTTCTTATATCACTTTTGTATTCCCTATTCAAGTACTATTAGTGGAGTATTAGTGCTTTAAGTATATATCAACTTTTGAGCATTCTAGAGTTGTGTGTGAATTTTGAAAAAGATAATTTGTAAATAAGGATGATATTTTACATCACTCGCAGTAGCGATTATTGATTGGCTTAGTACAACCAGAGATCATGATTTGTTAATTGGATATTTTCTTCGAATTCAAGTTGTTTTTGAAAAAAATGGAAATCTCATTCATTTTAATATTCTGAAATATAACGAGGTCATAGCAGTCAAAACATATATACAACGCTGAATTTGATACGTCCTAAAATCTGTCAACAAACAAGCTTCTCTCTGATTGGTCTGATTGTTAGATGTTAGGCACAATTTTATAAGTACTTACGCATTGACTCCGGCATAGCAAGTAGCTGATGACGAAAAATAAGGCCGCTATTACTTCGCCATTCTCGTGCTGACATGTTAATAGTTATTGAATTCGTCAGTTATCTTAATGGTTCTTTATCATTTTCGACTATTTGCGATAATAGAATAATCACCGACATACTCGGGGATTCGGGCGGCTGGCGTTATTGTATTGGGTGTAGCGTTTGTCTGTTTCTAAGACGTGATCAAGCATAATAGATCAGAACACCTCTATGTTTTCATCACCCTGAACTAACACATATCAAATCTCAATAAAGTGCACTAACTACAACACGCCTCCATTTGATTGTGACTTGTGAACAAAGTTAAACGAGCGTATGTATCGGATTAAGCAAAATCTCTCAGCTAGATGGTATAAGCTTGACTTTTAAACTATATATTACGTTTGTAATCAAAATATACAGTCGGTGGCATTCTGCGAGCATGGTGTACTCTCAGTATGCACATTGCCATCAATCATATATGTCATATTAGTCAAATTAAATTAACACATTTGCTAAAATATATTTAGGTCAACATTTTCTTCATTTATCCTCAGAAAGAACCTAGCATAAAGCTTTTAAAACTGGTGATATATACGCAGGATATAGTGGCTATTTTTTTCTGTTTCACCCAAAACTTCAATTTATCATTTAAGCTATTAAATATCATCGAATCATTACTCATACAAAGGTCGCACTGGACCAATGACTCTTTGGGTGTCGGTGATATTTGTTCATTCAAGCAAGCTAATGTACTTCATCGAACCATTTCTCATGCAAAGGTCGTACTAAGTCAATAGGTTTATTGAGTTTTTTTTGGAGAGCGCGTGATATTTATTTATTCATTCAAGCTAATACATCGAATATTGCTCGTGCAAAGTTCGCACTGAACAAATATATCCATTGAGTTTTTGGAGCAGGTGATGTGGTTGTTGGTAGGTAGACTATAATTGCAAATCATGATTTTTAAAATGTAGTAATATGACAAAAAGTACAATATACTAACCAGTAAAAAAAGTTAATTTGATTAGAAACATTAAAAACACATTTAAATATTGCCTTTTAAATTATATACTTCAAGACCACTTGTAATATGTTTATTGGTCAGGGGGAATGCAACAAGCGCAAATCGCACGATCGCCAGACGATTGGCGCGTGGACGACATTTCTGAACAGCCAATCAAATTTACGGTCAGTAGCTGACCATGAAAGCGTTCATTGACCAGCGTGCCGATGCATTAGTTGTAGAGGTCCTCGAAATGACCACACAGATTCTAGGCTATCGTCGTGGACTCCGTAAACAAAGTAACGAAGTTTCTGTTATAAATAATTTCCACGCACGTATCTTTGCCATCTGACCAATGTATCTTAAATCTGTCAAAAGATTCATTTACATGTAAATATAGAATGGGTACTATGTTATTATAATTCCAATGTCAATCGACTTGTGTTGTTATGGTTACTGTCAATGTGTCTGATCACTCAGTGGTACAAAACACTATATAGGCGTTGGTATAACGTAGATGACAAAAGAAGTGAATGTTAGTGAACATGACAGTATCGATAGTATCAGTGTCACTTTATTCAAATTCATGCAACAGAGCAAATTTACACGACGAATTTTTCACGCTGAAGACGTCGTACACTTACACGATGACGAAAGGGGTAATCACGACGCTTAACAAAGTCTCCGCAGTGCGACTTTGCGTGGATCAGAGTTTTAAGCTAGGGTGATGGTCCCAAGCTAACAATTTATCTACACAATTTGTAATTGCCAATTATGAAACTATGGACTAAATCGGAAAACGGAATCGACCTCGGGTTAACCGCTCGGAAATGCGCGCCGATAGAGTGCACGTAGTGAACAACGGAAACGTCACGATGTATCGAGCGTGGAACGTTTTTGTAGGCATCAGGTGATATATCTATAACATGTCAAAACTGTCAACCTTTAGATCAATTTTCCCTTTCAAAACAACATGTATGATATTGCGAATGAGAGTGTTCAGCGACATTGATCTGGTTTCTATGGTTACACAAGCTCTGACTAAAAAATCGTTCGATTAAAGATGCTAATTACTTATGTGACTTTGTTATTTCAACGATGACATTTTGTCTGAGTAATGTTGAGTGATACTTAATTTTCTATAACATTCTATTAATTTAAATCTTATGTTATTCACGTTCTTGTTAATAAGCGAGCTAATAAAACACAAAAGAACATCAAGTACTCGAACTGTTTTTTAAATGTGACGTCATACAATCTTGTAATTTGACATGACGTATTTTATAATTGTGGGATTAACTGCAAAAAAGTGCTCTTTTGGATTGCAAA